GAGGGAGGGAATGGGAAGAGATGGAGGGGAAACCGAGGTTGGGATGTAAAATAACTAAAGAAAGTAAATAAATATGTAAATAAATAAATAAATAATTTTTTAAAAAATATAAATTTTTTTAAAGGTATTTGTAATGATTATACTGAAAGAATTCTTTAAGACAGCAAGTTCAGCCTCTTCATGTTCAGTGTGAGGAACCAAAGCCACATAGGTGAATCAGCTTGTTCGTGGAGATACAGTCTTGTAAGGAGTGCCACCCTTGAAACCTTGGGGCTTTGCTGATTGCTAAACCAGGGCTTCTTACACTGTACTGAACAGGCTAATGACATTTCCATTCTTTCCTGTCTCCTCATCTAATGTATAGTGAAGGCAATAATATGACTTTTTCTCTGTATAGAATTTGAGAGTCAGCGGAAATATTCCATATATTTAAGGGGAGTTTTGCATGTTTTCAGAGGATTAGGTATCTCTCCCACACTGAGAGTTTTTCATCAGAGGAGTAAACCAGAACAATAACACACAGACACATTACTTACACTAGTCACTAGGGGGAGCTCTCTTATACTGAGCTATCCATTTGAAATAACAATTCAACATTCTGAATTGAAAATCTAGACAAAATTATTAAAGCTGATTGTTGTCCTGTTTGAACCATTTCTAGTCTTATAATAAAATCATTCTAAATCTCAAGCAAAGATTTCAACAACTTAACAGCGTACAAAAATAAAAATTAAACAAGAAAAACTCAAAGAAACTAGTAAGTAAAATTTCAATGTTTCGAATGAGGCTGTCCTCCAAAGGCTCATACATTTGACCACTTGCTAGACAGTTGGTGTTGCTGTCTGTGGAAGTTTAGGAGTTGGAGTGTGCCACTAAAGGCAGGGTTGAGAGTTTCAAGGCTTGTTCCATTTCTAGCTTGTTCTTTCTGCTTTGTACTTGTGATTGGAAATAAGAAATCTCAGCCTCTGCTCCTCACCATGACACACTCATCTCTCTAGAACCAGAAGACAAACTGTTTCTTCCCTAAATTGCATTTGTCATGGTGTTTAATTGCAGAAACAGAAAAACAATACAGCATCTATATTCATACTGTCTTGACCCTATAGACATGTGCAATCATTTACATATCAAATAAAAACAATAAACTATAAAAGAGTAATTGTGTCTTATTCTTTGTATAATTGAATATGCTCATTTAATGTTCCTTTTGTTTCACAATTGAAATTTGTTTGTATGTATTTAAGTGTTTTTTAACTATTATATCATTATAGTAAATTTGCCTCAATAGAGAGCTCTCTTTTTACAGACAGCAAGGACACTCAACAAGAAGTCATTGCAATATACTGCAATGATACCCAAGAAGCCACTGGGACATACTAAAAGAACAAGCAATAACAAGGCACTGATATGATAAGTATTTTGAAATGTTTTGCAACCATTTACATCAGAGTTCAGTTCTTTTGTATTAAATTTACCATACCAGGCATGATTCCTATCAAAGAGGCCTTGAGTCCTAGTAGACAGCTGTTGGTTACTATCAAGAAGTAAATGCTACAATATTGCACCTTTAAGGATAACTTGCCATGCTGGTTGGTCAATAATATGGTTCATAGGCGTCACAGCTTGGCAGGATATTTATTGTTTTTCTCCCTTGGAAGCTTGCATAACACTTTTGATACTGTCAAGCTAGTCTTCAGGGAGGATATTTATGGAGTCAGATCAATCTTGTTTCTTCTGAGATCTACGTCAAAAACGTGTGGTCTCTTCAGCAAGAGGCTCTTACCTTCAACCTCTGGGAGGTGACCAAAGGCAATAGCATACAATGTTTGGGGAGTTGCTTGGACTCCCCTGACCAATAACTTGAAAGAAATCGTACATAAATTTGTACTTCTCTTCAGGGAGCAATCAATCTAAGTGTGTGTGTGTGTGTGTGTGTGTGTGTGTGTGTGTGTGTGTTTAGTTTATATTATACATAATTTTAGGTAAATATAATATGCTTCCCTATGGCTTTTTCAAATACCCTTAGTGTTATATAATGTTTTTAATGTGTCATTTCATTCATTTCAAAAGTGTGATTTAACTCATTTCCCACTGCCAACTTGGAACAGAGAGTTCAAGTGCACCAGACTGGCATTATAGAGGTCAAAGGTGAGGTTATGAAGCTCCCACATACGAACTTCCTCTATTGCTCGTTTTCTAGGATCTGTCTGTCCTTCCTCAGCATTGCAGGTGATATCGAACTCTAGGCTGTACAGCATTCATCCCACATCTTTTTATTCTGTGTCTGTCTTGACTTTCTTCCTACAGGCTACATGCTGGAATCAAATCTGTCTTATACTATAGTCTCTCTCTCAAGCACTATGCCTTATAAACAGTAAACTTCCAATAAACATCTGGATCCTCTAATGTCTGTCCCTTGAATTAAATTTCATCTTAGCCTACTTATAAATTGTTGAATATAAAAACTACAAAGTGTGTAATATTCTGAGTAACAACTTGAAAAGCATCAAAATTTTTGTATTTTAATGACAAAAATGATTCATAAATAGTAAAAAAAAATACTTTGTAATGGTAGGTAGTAAATGTTCTCTGCAAATGAAAAAGACTGATAATATCTAAAGGATGTGATTTTTCACAAAGTAAGAATGCTATATTTGGCCTGGAGAGATGGCTCAGAGATTAAGAGCACTGACTGCTCTTCCAGAGGTCCTGAGTTCAATTCCCAGCAACCACATAGTGGCTCACAGCCATCTGTAACGAGATCTGGTGCCCTCTTCTGGCCTGCAGACATACATGCTGTATACATAATAAATAAATAAATCTTAAAAAAAAAAGAATGCTATATTTATTTATTTGCTTTTTAAAAAATAAAGCCCAATGTAGCCCAGGCTGGCTTCAAACTCACTATGTAGATAGGGATGACCTTCAATGCCTCGTTTTCTTGCCTATACTACCTATGTGCTGGGATTACAAGCATATGATACCACGCCTGGTAAAGAAAAGTGTAACTTTTAAATCAAGAAACTCATATAAAATATGTGTTAAGATAACAAATATCCCTAAATAGGAATATTTCCAACATGGAAGTGTTTACTTAAAGTAGATCTGTGGTGACTGGAAACTTGGCTACATTTTTGGATGTCCCTTCACAATACGGGACCTAGTTTCTCTTCACCTGAGTATGAATTGTATCTCATGTTTCTACTCTTCATGACAACAGGAGTGACTGTATATGACCCTGAAGACAAGGTAAAAAAAAAAAAAAAAAAAAAAAAAAAAGGCTTCTGCTTAACCCTTCCTTGGGCGTGCTCTGCGTGGAAAGCAGCTTCCAGGTTAATAGATGTTATATCTATGTTAATAGATGCGGTTGGGTAAATGAAAATGCCAATGTACTGTGAGGCCTCCTCACAAGAGGCCTGCACTGAGCCACTCTGCAAATACAAGCCCCATCAGAGGACTGCTGCCCAGGTGACAATGAAACAGCACCATCCTATTAGATTCTGGGCTAGGAACCCCATCTAAGCCACCTCCAGTCTTCCTGACCACCTTTGACCGTCTAAAACAATAAATTCTTTTCTAAGCTGTCAACTTCTGTAGTAAATTGTTGGAATATGATAAGCAACAAATACCATGCCATAGAGAAAGCAGGGAACCCAAGAACTTCCAAATGATGGAAATTAAGCAGCTATGGCCGACAATGTAGTGACATACACAAGGCAGGTAGTAAACCAGGTGACTTATATTTGCTTGATTTATATAATGGAAAGAACTACCCATTCCATCCTTGCAAATCAGCTCCTCATTACACCAATTGGGTGGAGATTTTAAGTTAATTGGATAACTTACAACAAAATGATTGAATGAATATTACTTCAGAGTGGCAATGGCCTGAAATTGTTGTCTCAAGATTGCTTGTCTCTCTACATATTACCTGGAGTCCTGCCCTGCTCTGCTTTCTATAGTGTCATTACTATGCCAATTGCCCTGTACTCAGCTCTCTGGTAAATATGGAGATACAGTGAGGATTATACTAGATACTACACAAAAGTAATGCAGACAATGAATGATATGTAGAGAAGGGTTAACATAAAACCTCCACCCAACTGGTCATTATATGAAACTGATGATCTTGCAGTTCTCCTAATGAGACAGGCTATCATAAGACATGGCGAGGGTTTAGTTACAGGTCCAAAAGAACCAGCAGTGAACAGTTCTTTGTTCATAGATTCTCCCATTGTAAAATGAGTGTACATAGAATCTATCTATTATGACACTGTGAGTCTTTTAGTCAATGAATGTAAAATATTTCAAACATTGTCATGTACAAATTAAGAGGAATTCCAATGTCAATTGTTATTCTAAGTTTTTGAGTAGATGACTCTATAATAAGAGCTATGGTTTGAAATTAATGTAATGTGAAATTCTAAATGATGAAACAACCCCAAAATAAAGAATCAATGTTGTTATTGCTTTAATTTTAGTTAGTTACATATATAGTGCTTTTCCAGAACAAAGAATGCCTAAAATGCATAGAAAATTCTGGCTCAAAAATATTTTATGAATTTACAGTCTCTATTCTGACACTTTGAAACATTGCTCAATGGCCACTTTCTCTCTTGAGAGATAAAGAACCGTGAACAAAACACAATTTCTCTGGGTGCAAAGGAAATAGGGGAATGGAGCTAGAAAGAAAGAAACCGCACAGTGTTTAGGTTCCATTAAAAACATGAAGTAGAATCAGGCCATTTCGTGATAACCAACTGAAATGATTCAAACAGGCACAGAGAACCTGGAGCAGAAAAGATATATCACTTTAGCAAACTGAAAATGGAGAAAGTACAGGCATAATCTAAAGAGCATTTATATCTAAAGATATAAATCTGAAACTCAGTACATCCACACCAATTCAATGACATAACTGTTAAGACTCTTCTAAAGGAAGAGATATAGAGGGAGCGGGCTGGAAGCAGCCAATTAAAAAAAGAAAAAACTCAGAAAGAATTTCTCCTATTCCTTAAACCCTAAAGGCTGGGCCACTCGAGTTATCACCTTCTTCAGGGCTAATTTCACATCCTTGTTCCTCAAGGTGTAAATCAAAGGATTCAAGGAAGGGGTGACAACATTGTTAAACACCTGGACAACAGAATCCAGCCAGGGACTAGAAGCAGGTCTGAGATAAACAAGAATCACAGGACCATAGACCAAGATGATGGATGTCAGGTGGGCACTGCAGGTGGAGAAGGCTCTGCGCCTGCCTTCCGAAGAACGGATCTTCAAGATGGAAATGACAATACGAGTGTAAGAAGCAAGAATGAGAAGAAAACACGTGAGTGCAACAACGCCCACATTGGTAAAACTCACAGTCTGTGCTAGAGAGGTCTCTGCACATGCCAGCGACAACACCACAGGGATGTCACAGAAGAAACTGTCCACCTCATTGGGGCCACAGTAGGGTAACTTAAAGATAAGAAATGTGAGGATGCTCCCATGTACAAAGCCCCCCAGCCAAGTGCCCACTGTGAGGCGGGTACACAGCCTGTGGTTCATGATGACTGTGTATCTCATAGGGTGACAAATAGCCACAAAGCGATCATAGGCCATCACTGTATAGAGGAAGCATTCAGTGCCACCCAGTGTATGGTAAAAGAAAACCTGGGAGGCACAGCCCTGGTATGAGATGGTGCGGCTCTGCCCCACTAGGCAGTCCAGCATCTTAGGAGAATTCACAGAAGGGAAGAGTATGTCAAACACTGCCAGGTTCCCCAGGAAGAAATACATGGGGGTGTGGAGGTTGGGGGAAGCCAGGATGGTGAGGAAGATAAGCAGGTTCCCCAGCAAGGCGAAGACATAGAAGACCAGGAACAGGACAAAGAGCATGTTCTCTAGTCCTTCGCTGTTCGAGATTCCCAGCAGGATGAACTTTGTCACAGAGGTGTAGTTTCTCATGCTCATGGCACAGACAGGCCTGGAAAGGTAAAGCAATGTTGTCCACAAGTAACTGAGAACAGCTCCCTGACCGAGGGATTCCTATCCAAGGCAGTGGCTGCAAACAAAACAAAACCAGTGAGTGAAAAGGGATCAATGATGAATCTGCCCTTGACATTCAGTTAAGTGTTGTGACACATTGGGCCTCGGTGTCCTCATGTGTTAAATTATATAAGGGAATAGTTCATCTTTATATTTTCAACTGTCTTAAAGTAATCAACACTTGTCACCAATTCTGTTTACTGTCTTCCAGTCTGGCCTAACATCAAATAAACTGTCATAATTCACATTGTACTGTCTTATCAACAAAAACTTTCTTCCCAGAAAGGATCCCATATTTACACAGCCAACTCAATCTGTAATTAGACTACCTAGTCTAATATGTGCATAAAATTGTGATTTCAAACATAAACTCATACTTTCCTTCCTAAAATATTTTAAATTTTTATTAGAGGATTTTATACTTTAGCATTGTACATTCATCATTTCCAGTCCTTGTCTCCCCCTCTAGCTCTTCCTGTGTTCCCCCCAATATTTTGTAGTTTTGCTTTTAGTCATTCTTCATTTACATCCAAGAGAAAAGCACAATTCACATTTCAACCCACTAGTACACAGACAGGAAGTGCACTGAGTCAAAAATATTACACAGTGCAAGAAATCCCTATGTTCTAACACATAATTCTCTCCCCTCAGGGTTTCTTTCTATAGGACACAGAACGATGCCTATTATGTTGCTTTATTGATGGAAATACATACTCCATAAGCCTGAATAACAAATTTCATCGCATTTTCTGAAATCTCACCTTCTTTTATGTTTCCAGTTAGATCTTAACCTTCAATATATTGGACAAAATACAACTTCTTTTATCTGCTACAATGAGTATTATTGAGGGGAAGTAACCTAATAAACCATCCATGTTGCTTCATAGTACTCTAATGTATATTACAAGTTTAGCCTTGGTAAAAGCTTGTGTTGTGTGGTGTGCAGAAATCTCAATAATTACTGTCAATAATGAAGGGAGCAGATCTTTGGATCACTGCTGATCTCAATGAAGAGCCAGGTCCTGACTGAAGCTAGTCCTTATCAACCTGTAGAAATAAACTGAGACTCTACAAAAGATACAGAATTATTTCCCACATAAAATGCTATTCTGGCAAGCATTGGTCTACAGAATAGCAACAAATCTTTTGCAACTCTCCACCTGAGAGGTGCTTAAAATCTAGAATATATAACATATTTATACAAACAAGTCATACAATGAATAAATGCTCAAATAAACGAATTGAACAGACAACTTTCAGAATAACAAAAATGACCAAAAAATAAGTAGCCAACATCTTTAAGTATCAAGGATATGCCAATCAAACTACATTGAGATCCCATCTTTCCCCATTCAGCATAGTTATGAATAAGAATACAAATGACAAGGAATGCTAATAAGGTTATGCAGGAAGAGGACCCTTATACCCTGCTGCAGGAAATGTAAATCAGCTTGGCCACTGTGGAGGTTCCTTAAAAGACTAAAAACAATCTACCATATAACAGAAAAGCAAACAGAGAACTGTTTAGGGAGATGAACAGGGCCAGTGGGAAGGGTGTGAGGAGAGTAATGGGAGGGGACAAAGATGAGCAGTTTATAACTCTGTGTGTGTGTGTGTGTGTGTGTGTGTGTGTGTGTGTGTGTGTGTG